TTCAGAGAAACTGACATACTGTTTTCCAGAGTGGTTGTACAATTTGCATTTCCACCAGCAATGGAAGAGTCTTCCCCTTACTCCCACATCCTCTCCAGCATAAGCAGTTATTGGTGTTTTGATCTTAGCCATTCTGACAGGTGTAAGGTGGTATTGCAGAGTCATTTTGATTTGCATTTCCCTGATGGCTAAGGATGTTGAACATTTCCTTAAGTGTCTTTTGGCCATTTGAGAATATTCTATAGAAAATTCTCTGTTTAGTTCTGTACCCCATTTTTAATTGAATTATTTGAAATTTTGATGTTTAATTTCTTGAGTTCTTTATATATTTTGGAGATCAGTCTTCTATCTTATATGGGATTGGAAATTTATTTTCCCATCCAATAAGCAGCCTTATTGTGTTATTGACTGTGTCCTTTGCTTTGCAGAAGTTTCTCAGTTTCAGAAGGACCAATTTATTTATTTTTCCTCTCAGACTCTGCGTTTCAGGTGTTATATTTAGGAAGTGGTCTTCTGTTCCATGCTTGTTAAGCTACTTTTCACTTTCTCTTCATATTTATCGTTGTGAGCCTAGCCTTTAACGGCTGAGCCTTCTCTCCAGCCCTCACTTTCTCTCTTTTCAGTTTCAGTGTGATCAGATTTATATTACGGTCTTTATCCCCTTTGGACTTGAGCATGGTGATAGATATGGATCTATTTGCATTCCTTACATGTTGATATCAGGTTATGCCATAACCATTTGTTGCAGATGCTTTCTTTTTTCATTGTATAATTTTAGCTTATTTGTCAAAAATCAGGTGTTCATAGGTGTGAGGATTAATATCTGGGTCTTTGATTCAATTCTGTCATTCAATCTGTCTGTGTTTTTGCCCATCATCTCTTCCTCAAACCTCCAAAATGAACTGTTTGCTTAATTAAAACATATGTTCCCAGGTGTCTCAAATATCTCAGTGTACCATTTTGATACTGTCCCGAGCAGTGTGTAGTCCAAACCTGGTGTTTAGATGGTGAAACAATTACATAGTGCAGTTGAAATCTTCCTTGTGTGACTCACACTTCTTTTGGAGACTTCAGAGTCACTGTAATGCATGCTCATATTTCATTGCAAAAAAACTTAATCATTTTAATTGTCATATGCAGCAGATCTGTAAGAGGTTAAAGATGAGTATTTGTTATGTATGCGTAGATATCAGAGAGAGACTCAAACCCAAAATTAAATACAGGAAGCTAGATGAAACCTTTCCCTAGAAATAGTTATTTCCCTATATGATCACTAATATTATGGCTAAAGAGATATTTGTTGTTAATTTCTCCCAAGAAATTACTGTAAGCTTCCTGTCCATAATGATTCAATTTCAACATTAGTAAAACATGCTAAATTTTTTTTATTGAGAAAAGGAGGAAAAAAAAAACAAGTTTCCACCTCCTCCCAGCCTCCCATTTCCCTCCCCCTCCTCCCACCCTTTTCCCCCTCCCCCCACTCCTTTCCCCCTCCCTCTCCAGTCCAAAGAGCAGTCAGGGTTTTCTGCCCTGTGGTAAGTCCTAGGTCCTCCCCCCTCCGTCCATATCCAGGAAGGTGAACATCCAAACTGGCTATGCTCCCACAAAGCCAGCATATTTAGCAGGATCAAAACCCCGTGCCATTGTCCTTTGCGTCTCATCAGCCCTCATTGTTCGTCATGTTCAGAGAGTCCAGTTTTATCCCATGCTTTTTCAGTCACAGTCCAGCTGGCCTTGGTGAGCTCCCAATAGATCAGCTCCACTGTCTCAGTGGGTGGGTGCACCCCTTGTGGTCCCAACTTCTTTGCTCATGTTCTCCCTCCTTCTGCTCCTCATTGGGACCTTGGGAGCTCAGTCCAGTGCTCCAGTGCAATAATGACGAATATCTTGCATATCATCATAGAATCTTCATCTGGTGATGGATGGAGATAGAGACAGAGACCCACACTTGAGCACTGGACTAAACATGCTAAAATTTAACCTTGGTAAATTCTTGCTAATAGACGAAGTTTCAGTTTTCTTTTTTAAAAACAACTCAGTTTCTTTTCCACATAACTTTTTAGTCTTTCAGTATGTTTATATGTTTAAAATATCGATTATAAGATAATATCTTTCCTCTGCAGTAAAATACCTATAGGGAATGCATAGAGCATAAAATGTCTAGAATGACGGCCAGGAGGTGGTGGCTCAAGCCTTTAATCCCAGCACTTGGGAGGCAGAGGCAGGTGGAGGTCAAGGCCAGTCTGGACTAGAAGAGGTAGTTCCAGGACACATTCCAAAGCTACATAGAAACCTGTATCAAAAAAAAAGTCTTGAATGTAACCAAACTCCAGATCCAAACAATCCATAAGTACCTTTTATAATTTTATTTCTACTAAACCATTTTTTTCTGCTTTAGATGATAATTCTCTTTGACTTGTCACCTTTTATGGTTTGGTTCTAATTACTATTTTCAATTTTTTACTCCAATAATGGGATATAGATGGTCAATGTCTTGCAACAATTTCTGAAATTTATTAAGATTCCACATATAACCTCTCCTAATTTTTAACTTTTGGGCTCAAATTTTTATAACACTATTTTATATGCTGAATAATTAATACAATCACCTTTTTGTATATTTTCAGAAGTAATTCCCAAGGAGACAAAGTTTGCTTTACTTCACCAACCATTTTCTCTAAAGTATTTACATTTGAATCAGCTAATGACATTCCATATAATGTTGAAAACATACCTAACTTGAGTATAATTTCCATTGTAATAAATAACAAAGTACTAACATCCAGTACTTTATATCCTAATTGGTTTATAATAATAACTTTCAAGGACTAGAAATTTTCATTACATGTTTAAGTGAGTTAAATTAGATAAAATGGTTTGAGTAAGAATATAAAAATCATAGACAGTATGTTTTGATAAAAATGTCAAGTTTATATCAAAAGGGAGCATCCATATCTATATCAATATAAAATATATAAATAAGTAGTTGCCTTTTTAAATTAATTTTAATGATCTATACTTTTACATCATACACATATATGCCCCTTTATTTTTTTTTTTAGATTCAGTAATGTACACTTTTATCCTATCATTTCATTGGGTGCCTTTTGTAAGTGGATGTATATTTATGAATATATAGAGCTGGTTTTGGAGAAAGACACTGGCTCTGTCCCTCTATAAATCCAAGCATGTCATTAAAATAAAAATTCAGAGTTTCTCTCTCAATGTCAGGATCATGGGACAGAAAGAAGAATTTAGAAAAATTTTCACTTTTCTACATTTCTACTTTCAAGTCTATTGTACATGTCATTGAATATATATGTCTGTATATGACTATAAATAATGTTTCAGTTTTCCACAATGCACAATGAATTTTCCTGCAGTAATTTCTGAAGTTTCAGGAAGAAGTTGGGGCCCCACAACAACAACTCAACCTGGTTGATACAATGGCATGATGATGATAGTGCTACTACCAGACGTGTTTCGCATACCAGCTGCTCAAGATGGTTCCAACTTGGTTAGCTGAAATGGTCCACTTTTTACAATGTTCTGGACAGACCTTATAAGAAGAAGATCAGAAAAACTTTACATAATACTCAGAGACTATTTGCAGTTATACCAGACAGTAATCTTGGAACTTAACCATCATTTTAGTTTCGCAGGATCCCATAGAAAGAACATCGCCCCCATGACAGCTGGAAGTAATTCTAAAAGACTACATCCCCTCTCCCAACAAAGTTTGTCCTAGGGTTAGGGACATCATTTAGGGGTTGATTATAATTGGTATAGGGTTGTGGGTTGGAAGGGAAATTTTATGGGCTCAGGGATTTCTTTGAAATAAAAGGGAAAATTGGATGGAATAAGATAGTGTGAGTTTACATACATTAATAATATGTAAGTAATAGAGTGAATTCTTGTGAGTTATAATTTATAGGCAATTGCTTTGATATAGATTTTTGTATGTTGATATAATGTTAAATATTGAATATTATATGCATTCATGCTTCTACCAATGCTTAAAACATTTTATATATTAATAAATATATTTATCAAATTGCAATGTACATTTCTTCCACTGATCAAGATACCTATTCATTGGTTACATTTTGAGCCCATTGTCCTCATTTGTTGTACAATTGTTTATTGTACAATATTCTAATATGAAGTCTTAGTCTTTAAGTTATATAGGTATTAGAATTATAGATCAATAGTCATCAATGTTTGTCTTACTTATAGTTAGAATAATCAGGTTTTTCACACACATGAAGAATAAATGTTGAATAGATAGGTAAATCAGACACTTCAAACAGCTGTAAAATCTGGATTTTACATAACCTAGGGTACTGTTGAAGTGAGACACAATTACTACTGGTAGCATTGTCTATTTTCCAGAGAATGTTGAGCACCGGAGACACTCAAAGCTTGTTTTCTTGTTGTCAAAACTAGCCTTTGGGCAAAGACATGCTCATGCCTCAACCTCTGACAAAATACATGGTATCCAAAAATGGATAAGCAGTTCTGTTAAATCTTGACTGGCATTCATCTCAGAAACAAATATACCTACCTCTGTTTGCTGAGCATTGTGGTAAAGGCAAAATACACCAATAAGCCCAGTTTGCCCATCTTTTTTTTCCTTTCTGTAGGCATTAATTTTCTCATGCATACAACATACTGTTGATCTTTTCTCTTTTTCTTTCCCCATGAATAGATACTGCTCATATAAGGAGGTATCCTATACAAATGACACAGAAATAACAGAATTGATTCTCCTTTTCAATTTCCTTCTAAAGTGACTGTCTATGTCATGGAACAAGAATGGGGAACACCAGAATCGTAAAACTATACTGTCAAAGAAGTATGCATTTCACTCTCATACTTACACTGTACTCATATATGGTATATTTTTGAAGGAAGTGACCTATGATGATGTGCACATCAACTTCACTAAGGAAGAGTGGGATTTACTGAATCCTTCCCAGAAGAATCTCTACAAAGATGTGATGCTGGAGACCTACTGGAACCTAACTACTATAGGTGAAAATGAATTTCTTTCATGTTTCAAAATATGGAGACAACTTTTCCTTGGTTTATAATTTTGTTCTGTAATTTGTTTTAGAGAAAGAATAATGGTGTGAATAACACAGTCACAGTTTTTAGGTGCACTTAAGATAATAAGCTAATTGTTGCACATTCTTAAATAATATAACTTCTATTCTGGTACTGTATTTTAGGATACTTTTGGGAAGACCTTAACACCAAAGAGCATTGTAAATGTTCTAGAAGACATGCAAGGTAATTTTCTTGGGCAAGTTCATAACAATTTCCCTTAAATAGTTTGTAATGTGTTCTGGAACTTTAAAACAAAAGCAAAAGTGTAAATAAGCACAGCTTTAAATATATTGATGGTTATTAAGTTCTCACAAATCCATATACCTCAATTTCTTGTATATGAATTGCATCTGCAAAGCCTTCATTTAAGAAAAAGTCTAGGTAGCAATGCCTAAACAGATATCACCATTTGATTCATAGCATCATGAGAGCTATGTTGTAGAACTGCTGCTTCATTTGCTTCTTGCTATTCATGACAGAAAATGTATACATATTTCAATGATGATGAGTATAGCTGCAAAACTTTCTACTAATTCAATAGCCCATGGTAAGCCTTGTATCACTCATATACTTTTTGTGACTGTGCTAAGTTTAGTGAAATCAGATTAGTCAAGGGTCAAGGGGCAGTGATGTGGAAAAACCTTAATATCTATACCTCAAGTCTCTGAAAGTTGAACCTTGTGGATTCATTTTGGAAATCTTTTATACACTATTCTTTTTTTCATATATATATATATATACGATTTTTTCATATATATATATGATATGTCACTCTTGACACAAGTGTATGAGCATAGGAACATGGAATAGGAATATGGAAATATTTAGCATACCTCTTCTTAAGAACAATTAAGAAGATAAACTGTAGTTCCTATGTAGAGTATACATGTTTAATTTGATCCACAAATACAAAGTTAATTTATTTTCTATCATCATGGTTAATACATAAATACAAACTCACATTACAACAAAAACAAACAAACAAACATGAGTTCTAGGTCTATGCAAATACTTCTGGGTGTCTTAGTTCACTTACCAAATGTATAATGATTCACAATATAGTAAAATTATGAATGGAGTAATGTTTGTAAATGTTGTAATAAGAGTGGCGGGCTACATTCCTGGCACCCGGCCACCCGCATGGCTAGCATTATCCGAAATAATTACACGGAAATTGTTTTCTTTTAAACACTGTCTGACCCATTAGTTCCAGCCTCTTATTTGCTAACTCATACATATTGATCTAACCCATTTCTAATATTCTGTGTAGCACCTTGGGCTGGTGGCTTACCAGGGAGGATCTTAACCTGTGTTTGTGTCTGATGGGAGAATCATGGCGACTCACTGACTCGGCTTCTTTCTCTCAGCATTCTGTTTTCTTTACTCCACCCACCTAAGGGTTGGCCTATCAAATGGGCCTAGGCAGTTTCTTTATTAATTAACCAATGAAAGCAACAGATAAGATACAAGACCCACCTCCATCATTTCCCCTTTTTCTGTTTAAACAAAAAAGAAAGGCTTTAACTTTAACATAGTACAATTACATATAGCAAAACAGTTATCAAGCAAGAATTACAGTTACAATATTTATATCTATTTTATCTTTTATCATAACTAAGGAAAACTATAACTATTTATTTATTCTTCAACTCCATCAAGACTCCAGAGTGATATAATATTACCTAAGTAAACAAGAAATCCAAAACTCTAGAAATGACAGAGACATCTTGCTCCCTGTACAGTCACCCAAAGTTCTTTTGTTTCGTTGGGGCATCCGTCTTCGGCCTTCAGACCCATAGTGTTCAGCAGACATTTCCATGAAGCAGGAAATTTCAAAGACAGTTCAGTCACTTTCTGCTGTGTCCTGCAGAATGTCTTGCAGACTCTTTCATGAATCAGGAACCCTGAAAGAACATCTTGCCTTTAGGCAAGTTCAGCTGTCCTTTCTCTGCGGGTTCTTTGTGTCCAGTTTATGCAACAGTCCAGGCAAGAGCAGTTTCTTGCCCAAATGGCTATCAAACTCCATAAGGAGCCTCTTCGATGCCCATCTTCCTCTTGAAGTAGCTTGATGCTGCCAGGAGCAGATGTGTCTCATTGTCATGAAAAGCCCTAAGGGATTAAAACATTTAAATGCCATATTCTTATTCTGCAGTCTTTAAAAGATATAAAGAATACCTATCTAACTGAAATATATCTCTATATATAACCTGAATATCTAACTAACATGACTACAAGCTTGACTAATATTTATGATTATCCATCAACAACCTGTATTTCCTAATTATACATTACATTTTAAAAATGAACTACACAATCACAATACCTTAATCAAGATACTGAAATACATATACGTATAACAAAATTGACCTTAAAATCCACACCAATGCAAATTATTCATACCTATATCATATCCCCCTTTAAATGTAAAAGAACATTTATAAACAATATTTGGGAACATGGGCACAGTTTTTTTCTCTCCAAACTGCTTCCTGCTGAATGGGGGTGCTGTTATTCAGGTCTTTTATGGGATAACCTGTCTGCTAGGTTCATCTCAGTCGGCAGTTGAGTGAAGTAATTTTCTGAAGGTGTTCACAGCAACCTCTCAGGAGGGCATGATCATACCATATTGGGATAGACACAATCCACAGGGTCTCATCCTCTGTGAAAACAAAAGAAGAAACTCCTTTCCAAAGCATCATATCCTTAAACCAAAATTCTGAAGTCATAATACCCTTATGAAATCCATTCTGGTTCAGCTTGGTAGCCCATGTAATAAAATGTCTCTCTGTACTTAGCTCCTGTACAGTCAAAAATTTTAAAGAAAGCACAATAATACAAAGAATCCAGACTCACTGTGAATTTTCCATTTTTATGTGTCTTATTTTTACTCTATCAGTTTACTTTATTCTGTCTCTTTAAAGACTTTACCCTTTTTGTAAAGACATTAACTTTATTCTTTATATTCTTTTTCTTCTCTCTCCCAAGCCTACGTACATTCATCCAACACTGTGACTCATTTAGTGGTCTTTTATGTCTGAATCTGTTTTATTGTGAATCTGTAATTTTTTTTTACTATCCAGGAGCATTTCTTAAAATGTTAAGCAGTTCTTAAAAACTTAAGTTGCACCATGTACAGGTAATATGGTACCACCTGAGTCCTGCCTAGTCTAAACCTTAACCATGCTATTATTATGGTAATTACGGTAGTTCCTGCTGAGACCAGCATAGTTCAGCATGGTTGAGCTGAGCCTCTCCTGCCTCAGAGCCATTTGGTGCCCCTGAGCCACTCACAGTTCCAGGCACATGGCAGTCCACATCGCCATCAAGCGAGGTGTACCACTTTACTCCAAATGCTCCATTCAAAAGCTCTGTCTCCAGCAGGAGCCAGACAGATATGGTGATGGCGGCACAGCCCAGAAAGCCGGCATTTTAAAACAGCCAGTTTTTTCCTGCTGCTGAGTCAGGAAAACTTCTTTGTGGCAAGCCACCCACAAAAAGCCAAAGCTGTATTAAACTCTCTCCCTTTTCTAAAGACCTCTCAGGTTTTTAAAGTGGATGTAGTCCATCACGTTAGAGAGCCACTCTGTCATAATATGAGTGGGTGGGTGCCAGGAACGTAGCCCGCCACTCTTATTACAACAGGTAAAGCACTCAGTATATGCAGTTCTCTTCAAAAATGTAAAAAATACCCTAGAAAAATATAGGTAGTGTTATAGATGAAAAGGTAAACCATGACACAATGGAATTTATCATCACAAAAATTTTTTCTAGATGTAAAATGACCCCCAATGAGAGAACAAAACATGATTTTAAACAAAGCTATAAAACCTTGATATTAGATTCCTTTTTACAATTTGAAAAAATATGAAGTTAATTCATATAGGTATAAGGTACAACTGCATTGAATGTGGTAAAGCTTTTACATGTGTAAATTTTGCTTGCAGGATTGAAAGAAATCAAACTGGAGAAAAGTTTTCAGTATATTCTCACTGTGGTAAAGTCTTGTCTTATAAAACTCATCTTCTAAGGAATGAAAAAACACATAGCGGAGAAAAATGCTGTGAAATTAAGCAATGTGATGAAGTCTTTTCTTGTCACAATCATCGTGAAATGCATAAGAGAACACACAGTGGAGAGAAACCCTATGAATATGTTCAAGATAATAAAGACTTTCTGTATGTAACTCATCAAAGTCATAAACGAAAACATACTGGAGAGAAAACATATGAATGTAATCTGCATGGTAAGGTCTTTGCTGATCAGAGCCATCTTCAAAAGATTAAAAGAATATATACTAGAGAGACACCCTATGAATATAATCAGTGTGGTAAAGACATTACTCAATGTACTGTTTTTCAAACACATAAAAGAATACAAACTGGAGAAAAACCATATGAATATAATCAGTGTGGTAAGGCCTTTGCACGTCATATTCATCTTCAATTGCGTAGAAGAACACGAACTGGAGAGAAAACATTTGAATATAATCGGTGTGGTAAGGCCTTTGCACACTACAGTAATCTTCAAAGCCATAAAAGAACACATACTGGAGAGAAACGCTATGAATGTAATCAGTGTGGTAAGGCCTTTGCATGGCACAGTGGTCTTCAAAGACATAAAAGAACACATACTGGAGAGAAACCTTATGATTGTAATCAGTGTGGTAAGGCCTTTACACGACATAATCATCTTCAAATGCATAAAAGAACACATACTGGAGAGAAACCCTATGATTGTAATCAGTGTGGTAAGGCCTTTGCACGTCTAAGTCAACTTCAAAGGCATAAAAGAACACATACTGGAGAGAAACCCTATGAATGTAATCAGTGTGGTAAGGCCTTTGCACGTCTAAGTCAACTTCAAAGGCATAAAAGAACACATACTGGAGAGAAACCCTATGAATGTAATCAGTGTGGTAAGGCCTTTTCTCAAAACAGTGTTCTTCAAACACATAAAAGAACACATACTGGAGAGAAACGCTATGAATGTAACCAGTGTGGTAAGGCCTTTGCACAACACAGTCACCTTCAAAGCCATAAAAGAACACATACTGGCGAGAAACCCTATGAATGTAATCAGTGTGGTAAGGCCTTTGCATGGCACAGTGATCTTCAAAGACATAAAAGAACACATACTGGAGAGAAACCTTATGATTGTAATCAGTGTGGTAAGGCCTTTACACGACACAGTAATCTTCAAGTGCATAAAAGAACACATACTGGAGAGAAACCCTATGAATGTAATCAGTGTGGTAAGGCCTTTTCTCAAAACAGTGTTCTTCAAACACATAAAAAAACACATACTGGAGAGAAACCCTATGAATGTAATCAGTGTGGTAAGGCCTTTTTTCAAAACAGTGTTCTTCAAACACATAAAAGAACACATACTGGAGAGAAACCCTATGATTGTAATCAGTGTGGTAAGGCCTTTGCACGTCTCAGTCATCTTCAAAGGCATAAAAGAACACATACTGGAGAGAAACCCTATGAATGTAATCAGTGTGGTAAGGCCTTTGCACGACACAGTAATCTTCAAGTGCATAAAAGAACACATACTGGAGAGAAACCCTATGAATGTAATCACTGTGATAAGGCCTTTGCATGTCACAGTGATCTTAAAAGGCATAAAAGAACACACACTGGAGAGAAACCTCATGAATGTAATCAGTGTGGTAAGGCCTTTGCACACCACAGTAATTTTCAAAGCCATAAAAGAACACATACTTGAGAGGAACCCTATGAATATACCCAGTGTGGTAAGGCCTTTGCCCTTCTCAGTCATCTTCAAAGGCATAAAAGAGCACATACTGGATAGAAACTCTATGAATGTAATCAGTGTGTTAAGGCCTTTGCTCAACATGGTGCTCTCAAATGTATAGAAGGACATATACTGGAGAGAAACCCTATGAATGATATCAGTGTGATAAGGCCTTTGCAGACCCCTGTACTCTTCAAAGGCTTAAAATGTAACATACTCTAGAGATACCTGTGAATGGAATGTGGTAAATTCTTTTTCACAATTATCTCCAAATACATAATATGAGCCCTTCTGTAGAGAAACCCTGAAGATAATTTGGATACTTTTCAAAAATATGAGAAAAAAATCATACTGTAGTGAAACTATAAATGAATTCAGTGTCATAATGTTTTGTGTTTTATATAAGAGTAAGACTTAGTGTGTAGTCATCTGAGAAAGCTTGTGCATATTATCATAATCTTTTGGACCTTATGAAAAAGCTGGGTGCTTCTTTTAAATTGTTCTTTTAGCTGTCAAGCCACTTACAGTCAGTTAACAAAAATCAGTTATTGTGTAGAAAAAAGTTTGAAAATGTCAACAATTTGTTCATGCATCATTATAACTCTCTTTATTTTAGTTTGAACCAGCAAAGTAATGGATAAATCCTTTTCAGTTACAGGAAGGGTATTCCAACTTTGGTCTTCAAACCAGAGCCAAAGGAATGAACTTTGTCTCTGAATCCAGAACTAGATAATGAAACAACATCTCCCTGAAAACAGCCAAAACATTAAAAGGCCCAGTGAAAGAAAAACACAACTTGGCTCTCAAACCAGAACCATAAAATCCTAAAAAGTTTCAACAATGTTTTTAAGCTCAAAGGATATCATTAACTGAAATATGAGAGGCATCAGGAGTCAAATCACTCATACGCTTACTTGTAGGTTTTGTATAAAAGTATCCTTAGAAGTTGGGAATATAATTATAGTTATCAGAAGATTGGGAGTGGTCATCAGGAAGGTAGATAGAAGGTGGTTACAAGGAATATTTTCTGAAAAGGAAAGATGGTTTGAAGTAATAAATGATGGAAACATCACTCTTAACAGTAGCCGCAAATAATATAAAATATTATGGAATTACCAACTAAAGAAGTGAAAGGACTGTTGGAAAAGAACATTAAATCTTTGAAGAAGACACCAGAAAATGGGAAGATGTCCTTTGCCCTTGTTAGGTAGAAATCAACATAGCAATCTACAGGCTCACTACCATTCCCATGTAAATATCAGAAAAATTCTTCACAGATCTCAAAATAAAAACACCCAACTTCATATATAAAAGCCAAAAAAATGCGGGATAACCAAAACAATCCTACATAAAAAATAATTTCTGCAGGCATCACATTCCCTGACTTCTTTAGATGACTGCAGAGCTGCAGTACTGAAGAGAGCCTGGTGTTGGCACAAAAACAGATAGGAGGACTAATGGAACTGATTTTAAGACCCAGACATCACTCCACTCACCTACTACACCTGATTTTTGACAAAACACCAAAAAATATAAAATGGAGAAAACATATTTAACAAATGGTGATGGCATCACTGAATATCAATGTGGGGAAGAATGAAAGTAGATCTACATCTATCATCATGAACAAAACTCAAGTCCCAATGGATCAAAGACTACAACATAAAGACAAACACACTGAACTACATAAAACAGAATGTTGGAAGTACACTTGAACACATTGGTAAAGAGGACCACTTTCAAATTATAACCCCAGGCATCACAGACACTGAGAAAAATTATAAATGAGATTTCCTGAAGCAAAAGTTTCTGTAAAACAAAGGACATGATCAACAATACAAAAAAAGGCAGCCTGTAGTATGGGAAAAGATATTCACCTAAACCACATTGGATAGAAGACTGATCTTTAGAACATACAAAGAACTTAAATAATTGTTCATCAAATAAAAAATGGAGTACTCCAATAAAAATGGAGTACAGACCTAAAAAAAATCTTTTAACATATGAATCTAAAATGACTGAGAGACACTTAAGGAAGTTTCCAAACTCCTTAGTCATTAGAGAAATGAAAATCTAAACAAATTTGAGATTCCCTCTTACATCTGTAACAATAGGCATGATCAAAACACTGATGACAACTTAAGCTGGAGAGGATGTGGAGTTAAGGGAACACTCCTCCATTTTTGATGGGGTTACAAACTGAGTCAGCTACTTTGGATATCAGTATGGTTATTCCGTAAATTAGAAAGTCACCTGCCGGGTTGTGAGGCATGGCTTTAATCCCTGCACATTGGGAGCCAGAGATAGATCTCTGTGACTTCAAGGCCAACCAGGTCTACAAGAGCTAGTTCCAGGACAGGCTCCAAAGCTAAAGAGAAACAGTGTCTTAGAAAACCAAAAATTAAAAAAAAATGAAAGAAAATTAGGAAACAACTTATCATAAAACCCAGTCATGCCCTTTGGATATGTACTCAATGGATGCTTAATCATACCACAAGGACAAATGCTCAACTGTGTTCACAGCAATATTGTCAGAGCCAGAACCTGAAAACAACCTCTCCTCAGAAGAATGGAAAAAGAAATTGTGGTATACTTACACAGTAGAGTACTACAGAGTGGATAAAAACAATTACATCTTGAAATTTATGTGCAAATTTATGGACCTAGAAAACATCCTAAAAGAGTGAGTTAACCCAGAACCAGAAAGAAAAAATATATGTACTCACTCCTAAGTGGCTTTTCAATATAAAACAGGGGACAGTCAGCCTACAATTCACAATGCCCAGAACATATACAACAAAGAGGAAACAGACATACATAAATCTATTCTATATAGGACATAGAGAAAGACAAGATCTTAGTAAATTTGGAACATGTGAATCATGGGACAATGGGATGGGGGAGGAAGGGTGAATAGTGGATAAATATAGTTGAATAAAAAACAATTAAAAAATCCTTGATTCACAGCCGTTTGTGGGTGAATTAAACAAAGTGATAGTATAAAATGAATAGCTGAAATATGGAACTTTTCTTAGTTTTGTAGCTGAATGAAATACTTCCTCTTGCTAAGGCAGACTGATTTATGATATTTAATTAAAAACAATCCACACATTTTCCAACAGAAAATTAAAGATTTATACCATATCTCCCAATCTTCCCAAACCAATAATCACACATGAAACATTTGAGACGGAAGTGCTTGATTTTACCTAATGTAGCTGCATTCATTCTAAGTTCATCATGTAACACTGAGTTCATGTTTTAATGATGAATTTTGAAGGCTGTACAAGTCAGAGTGACAGACCCTGAACTATGTGAGTACTAATTGAATCTTTGACTTCTGAAAACACCAAGTTAGAGTGTAAGAATACCTTGGGCTTTTATAGGTCAGATGAGCACCTACAGAGCAATGGATCTCATATACAATATAGCTAGCATCCAGAATCAAGAACTGGATTCAAGAGAGCAACTATACCCTTTATAGATTCATTCATACTGTAAGAGACCATGCCCAAGTGCATTGATATTTTAAAGCTGTTGACTGAAGGAGCTCTCACAGCACCTACCCATTTAACTTAATACGAAATTCCAAACCCTATACAAAACTCTGTACACAAGATGTCAAAATTAAAGTTAGAATTACAATAAGCATAATCAATATTAAGGAAGGAATACATCCTAATGGTTTGATAAGCATTTTATCCTAAGGAGTCCATGTTGTAGTAGAAATGGCTTAACTAGATCATAAGAGGATGGTAAGTATGATTATCTCATCTTCAACCCCATCAAAGACCTGAGAAGAGCAATAATATTACTTGAGTAGGCAGGTAGTGCAGTCTAGCACCTTCCAAAAAGTGTAGTAGTTGACAGACAACTGACTGACCAATCAACCAAAGTCTCATCACAGTGTTGAAGAATAAGACTTCATATCAGAATATAAAACAATCTTTAAAGAACTATGCAGTAAAGCAGGACAATGACTTCAAAATGTAAACAATGTATAAAAATCTTGATCAGAGATAGAGTAATATAATGCAATATGATAAATATATCATAAAATTGCATCAATAAAAATATGTTTTAAACAGGTAGAATCATACATTTATAGAATCTGACATAATAACCTTATATAGTTGTTACAAATATTCTAAACAAAAATCAAAACAGTCTATATAATAAATATAATTCGAATTTGTGTCAATATACAAAAGTATACCAATGTAAATCCATAAAAAATATTTCACAAGTATTCCTTCTATTACAAACTTATTAGTAGGAGTAAGTAATCTACCTATTATCCAATTCCATTTTCGCTCATTTTGAGATCTCTGGGTGTACATCATTTCACCCAATCCTATGACCCACCCAGCAGGTCCTAAGTTACTCCAGGGTCTTGAAGAGGCACTATCTGAAAGACTTGGGAGGAAAGAGAAACGGATGCCAAGCAGTATTTTGTCAAGGAATCCGTTTATTGAAGCAAGTTTCATGCCTTAAATACTCCTCAGAAAGGGACTCGGGCAGGGGGAACTCAGGAAAGGGGGAAGGGAAGGAGGGGCTTGGTAGCTAGGCAACTAAGTGGGGCAGTTTGAGAGCTAAGCAGGGCAGTTGCAAGGTCAGTGGCTAGAACACCTGCTGTTAGTGATAGCAGCAAGCCCTGAAGACACTTTGTGGTACTTTCCAGAGCTTGAGTCTCCACGATCAGCACATAATGATTTGGCTAACTTTAAGTTTTCTGTCTCAAGATTTTTACTTCAATGCCCTGTGAGAAAGGAGAAGCCTGAAATGGCTCCTGACAATCCTATATTAGTAATAATCAACTCGTAAATGTTGTTCCTGACTGTGACGACAAACTTTGTTGGGAGAGAGAATGGCATCTTCTAGAATTGCTTCCAGGGACGATGTTATTTCTATGGGATATTATAAACGCAAAATGATGGTTAAATTTCAAGATGGCTGTTTTGGATAATTGC